ATATATATATATATATATATATATATATATATATATATATATATATATAATTTAACACAATCAATCACATAGAATAGGCAGATGTACCACAACTTGATATTCTAAATTTCGGACGGTTCGTTGATTGACGGAATGGCCTAGGATTGAACATGCTCAAGAAGAGAAAAAGCAGAATACGAAGCTTCATCCCATACAAGACTACAGTATTCGAGCATCCAGCGGAGTTAAACTTTGTACAAAAGGAAGTACAATGCGGCGCATGACGTGGAATAGGTAAACGACTTTGGTCGAACCCCATGCAGAGACAAGTCTGAGATTGGAGGCAAAAGATGCACTAATGACAGTGCGATCTTGGCCCTGTGGGTTGTGGAGTAAGAGAGAGAACGAGAGAGTGGCATCATCGGAGAAAGTGAATGGAATCGGCGCTTTTGGACAGAAGATGAGTAGAGGAGACGAGGTGCAACTATTGAACCTTGGAGAACGCCGGTCATCACAGGAAGCGGCAAAGATAGGTGTTAGGAGGGAGTTCAAACACCCCGTCGAGTTACGAACGCATCTGCGTCAGACCACAAGCACGCTCGTGATGCATCAGGGAGGTTGAGTCCGGACTGGATAACTGAAGTTCGAATCAGACAGTAGTTGTCCGATCGATCAGTCGGAATGCCAAGGACGCAATCTGATTGATGTGTCACCGTACCGTCCTCGTATACCTGATTTACCTCATATATATGCGCGTCGAACCTCAGTTTTTTTGGACTGAACTCTAACAGTTGTTTCGAGTCGGGCTCTTTCAGCACGTTTTGTTGAGGATTAGTCAAGAGGTGCTGGTGTCAAACTTACGTTCAGACACACGACCTCATTGGTTCCGACAGAGATGGTTCGTTTCATAATGAAAGATTGCAGCCACGACATGGGAGCCGCGCGGATTATGGACGTAGGTGATTTTGACAACAGATCCTGGTGTCAAACGGGATCGGAGTTCTTTGAAATATCATACGAGACTAAATGGACAGAAATCCTATTGACGACCATTCAGAACCCCACACAGCTGGTTGGAGATGAGGATTGCGGACAGTTTAAAAATTCTAGAAGTTAGTGTGGTGAGACGATAGTTATTAGAATCAAAAGGATTGCCACGCTATTGGATAGGAAAAATTAGGGCAACTGTTACGGGTTGTGGCTATTGTTCTTGTACAATAATCAAGAGAAGATTAACATCATCATTGTTCATAACTATTATCATCACTGGCAATAATGTGGAATGATTTTAGCTCGGGATGCGGATGATTGTGTGTTCCGAGCTGGAAGTGTTTTTCGCAGTAGTTTCGTTGCCAAGCTAGACAACATCAGTGAAAAGTTCGTCATTACTTACACAACTAATATGCATATGTATTCATGCAAGAATTGATATAAAAGATATTTTGAATGTGCGGGAATTTGAGACACCGTAACCGGATAAACGTTTTCCTTACCTCACCCAGATACGCCTTTGCTAACGCATTCCCATTTTCTGCCGCCAAAGTGAAGTAGTAGAATGCTTTCTGATAGTCTCTTTCAACTCCATGTCTGCCATGATAGTATAATTGGCCAAGCCCAACCTGGGCACTGTCGTTCTTTTTATCCGCCATAAACTGGTAGTATTGAAAAAGGTCGTCATTCATTGCCAGACCGCCCACAACCGCCTCACCCACAGAACCTGCTCCTCCAGCCCCTCCACCGAACAGACCGAAAAGACCACCGTGTGAATCAGCTTCATCAAGAAGGCGAACGCGGCGAACCATTGGGCCCAGCACCGTCGGTCCACCAGCTTGAGCACGATCCGAAACCTCTTTAGCTACTTTCTTTGCCACTCGATAGTAGTACGTCAATGCGGATTCACAACTCTCTTGGACGCCTAGACCGGTCCAATGACGATAACCCTGTTATGGATGTAGATACGGAACACCAAGGTAAAACTCGTAGAGAAAATACAGTAATTGAGAAAATTGAGGGGAAATGTCTAGTGTAAATGAGTTTGAAGCGATCAAAAACGTGTACTGGAGCGCTGGAAACTCCGAAAAAAACATCAGGAATTTAAATAGAAAAACGATACTGACAAGCGTAGTACTTAAGCTGAATGACATTGCGAATTCGAGTCATAAGTAGTGTGCAAATTGACTGAATTTGAATGCGACGGTTTATATCAAAGCTGATGAATAACTGGATGAACGTATGGCAGAAAAGCGCTTCATTCTATTCAAGGCTAAAAGCCACATTGCGTTAAACACCGCTCGCGTGAGTGGGAAAAACAGTTATTGGGTTAGCAAACATCAAGTGATGAGGAATGATCATGTGGTGTTCAAAAATACAAGGGATTCGTGGGTTAAAATGTGAACTTGAGTAAAACCAATTGGAATCTAAAGAAGGCAAAACTTGATACAATGTTTCTTTGCTCGAATTGGGAGTACAGCAGGAACTAAAATGCTATAGAAGGATGCAAACATATGGTCCATCTTTTTAGTCGCAAACTTAAGGCGTTCTATTGCTGTACACAATGTGGCTGAACAGCTACTGCTAGATATATACAGGCAACGCAAATCTAATGTGCAGCTCGATGTGAGATGAACAAGCCTCGAAGGATCATTGCGATGATTCCGTAATGAGTTTTGTGTGTTAGGTGCGTTTACCCTCAACCAACTCAACAACCGGGGCGATTTTCAGTATTTTTTAATGAATAGGGTATGACAGAGAGGACGAAATTCCCCAGAAGCACATGACGGGTTTCGCGGTCCTTAATGCTCATTAGGTATACGTATCCGGTAGTCTTTTGCGTTGCCTGATTCACATCGAGGGTTCAAGTATAAGAATAACCAGGCAAAAGATTACCGGATAGGCATACCTCACGGGCGGCAAGGACCGCGAAGCGGGTTGTGCTTCTCGGAAATGTTATCATTCACACGTTTACTCTCTTTCTCTTTCTCTCTCTCTCTCTCTCTCTCTCT